CACACTACTTATTTTTCCTTTATAAGTAGAGTCACAAGACTTACTGTAAATCGAAGTTATTTGAAATATATTCAACCTGTTGCCTTTAAGTGGTTGACTTCGTTTTGCTTGCTTGATATGCTAGTTTTTGGTGTTTTGGCCAGTTGAGACAACGAAAATGTATACCAAATAAATTGTCACCTGAACAGTGATGGAGTAGAGTGAACCATTCGAGGGTGTGGAGTGGACAGAGAAGCAGCAAAAGGCAACAAGTGGGCAGACAGGCCTACACGAAATGTAGCTACAAGTGACCCTGCTCTGCAGTTGCTGCATTCCACGCTCGGAAGACCAGATAGAGCCAGTTGAGACACAGGGGAGTGTTGTGAATGTGTCGGGTCAGGAGGAGGTGAGCTGGTCTCATCCGACATCGACTCTTCATTCGGCTTCAGCGCGTCGATCGGTCGCGCAGCCACCCGCAAACGACTTGAGCTTGGCTCGTCTGGTTCAGCACCCTCGCAAAAAAAGTCACGCTCGCGTAACATCCAAGAGTGACGGTCGCCGATGAAGCAGGTCGTCTCAAGGCCCCTGGAGCCCGCCCACTCATCACATTTCGGTCGATGAGGGGCCGGTCTTAGCCCCAGTCCTTGTGTCCTCGTAGCCGAACCAGCTCACCAACATTGATCTTATTCTTGTCACTTTTGTGTCCTCCTTAAATTCATGTTATTTATGTGTATGTGTATGTGTATGTGTGCGTGTGCGTGTGCCGGCGGACGCGGTGTCTGGCTATAAATCCTGCGCGAGAAGGGCAAACGTGGCTTGCGCAGGAGAAGTTTGCGGGCGAGTCTGTCTATTGAGCCTAAAATCACTACCTGTAGTCAAGTGTGTAATTGAATGGAGGATAATGTAGGTATGAAATGGTGTGTGGAGTGTTACGTGTAGTGTAGAGTGTGGAGTTGGTGCGCCAAAGGGTGCAGATATGCGTGTGATTGAGATGACAGAGAATATCGTTTGGTTTACTTGTCTAAGTGGATAATGGCTGAATAAGTATGACGAAAGAGCACACCTAGTGAGCGTGGGGAGGATAGGTCGCAGCAAAACGCGCATGGAGGAAGGGGGGAACGGGACAAACATAGATACCTTTTTAGAGAGGCTGGTTGCAAAAGGTGCATTTAAACAGAGACACACGATGCACTGAGAGAAGGCAAGAAAGAGAGCGAAATGTAAACGAACCCGTTTGCTGCATTAAGTTGTGTGACTATTTCGGTTGCCTGCATGTTTTTTTGGGATTGTACTACTTAAATTGCCATCAGTAGGCGGCTGTTGAGCTGGCAGAGCTGGTGAGTCTGTCAAAAACGAAGAAATAGAGCTCAATGCTGTTT